CATGAGACATCTCACGACCCCCGTGTTTCTTCGTAAAAGTCTTCAATTTCTTCCTCAGGATGACTCGATATTTGCTCATATACTGGGATCACTTGGAGTTCGTAACCTTTTGAAATTCTCAAACCCAATCTTGAAGAACTCACCAAAGTGTTGTACCACATGGCGTTTAATTTTCGGTGCATAATGAACCCTACTCACTCCGAACATCTATTTGTCGATCTTCTGTAAAATAAGAGTTGTCCACTCTTGAGTTCTAACAGGCCATCGTGGTTTCGTCTAACATAGCTGAGTCCTACCGTGTCCCTCTTGATTTTTCGTAGTTCTACATTCAGTTGTTTGATGCATTGCTTTTCCTATGAGTGCTCTACAGTTGGATATAGTCAGCGTTAGTAAATCGCAGCAGCCTCGATTCATGGCCATGGTATTCTTAGCATTCTCTGTCTATGTCTGACCAGTTGCCGCCTTCATCGGCAACAATTCAACATCCGATAATTGATGGCTGTGGTTTTGGTTCTGATTCCATATTCGAGTGTTTGGCTATTACTCCACATGCTGACCAGGCGATTTGATGAATAAATTATTGATTATCAACTATTCAAAATTTTTCAACCTTCTGTTTGAACTGTATTCTTGAACAATTTGGCTTTCATTGTTCAAATAAGCAATAACCGTGAGAGCAAAGTGAAGAATAAATATATAATCATTAAAAACAATAAAGAAACTAAGTTAGGGGCAAGATTGCGAAAGCTAACCTATAGAATGACGCAATATAAACAATAAGAAAAGCAGAACATCACTCTATTTAACATTATAATCCTGCTGATTATCTTAATTCTCAAATGAGCATGTCCGAAATTGGTCGCTTGGTTGAAGATATGTAACGGCAACGCTGGGATAACTTGTTTTATCATGTGACTCCCACACTCCCAGTTCATGTTCGAATTGTGTCTCACATGGCTTTGTAGCACTAAAGTATAGAGAACCACGTGCTTAATTTTATTACCGTTTTAACCTGATATTTCAGCTCTAAACTTCTAGAGCCACACATAATCTTAGACCCGGTTGATTTACTCAAACATGCTATTTAAATTTAAATGAATAGATTTTCGCCGTCATAACGAAGAGAATGATCGGTCGTGTTTTCATCATGCTTTCTGAGTTATGAAATCGTTTCGAATGATGCATACCTAAATTTTTTTATAGGATTAATGACCTGACGTACAAACCGGATGGATCAGAATTGCTCGTAGCTGCTGGAATTCAAATACTAGTTTACGACGGCTCCCGAGGTGCACTCATTAAAACGCTGCAAGGTAAGGCGAAATAAAACCATCTTGGTGTCGGGAGAAATTGTGTTCCATTTCACGTACTCTGATGCATGAACGTCGAGTC